GGGGGGGGTTAAACGTATGAGACAACCAAGTAAAACATATCAGACATATGTCATAAATATTAAAAGAAGGTGACTTCTACCTTTTGCTTGATAAAAAACATGATACAGTGATCTCATTGGCGCAAGTAGGTGCTGCTTCTCAAATATTTGAAACCATTTCGGGTAATTGATATATTAGATCATTAATTGAGTGTTGAATCTTCCCAAAAATAACATAATATTAATGGCTGAGTATACAGAATGATTTGGAAGAACTAAGTATGACCTCTAAGACTGTAAATAGATGGCATAATTATTTCCCATAATTTGGTGTTACAGTGTACTTCGTATCAGGGGCTTCTCCTTACCTTTCCTATATGGTCCTATAAGCCTTATATGGATCTGTCACATGACATGATACCACATGACCCAATATCAAGTCTGAGCTTTGGGAAATCCCCCCCCTGTATTCTATTTAACATAAGAAATCGTACACTGTTTAAAATGATATTATTTTTATTGATGTAGTGTTAATTTGAAGTTTCAAAACAGCAATAATTATATTTATCATTGACAATATTGAACCATTTGCTACACATGATATACACACTGTTCCACAACTACTAGTGACTTTGATTGAACGTCAATGTAACAAAATGGATGAACTTCCTGGTTACGATTTTTTTGGTTTTCTTGATTTAAACCTACCAAGATTGTAATTTGGCACAAAGCCAGAAAATATAGCCTAGCTTTAATACATTTCTTCGACTTGGAATTTGTTTTGTAAATGAAGTTGCAATTCACATATTTAGTCCCTCGCTTTTGTTACATTGACGAAAGTCCGTTATATTACCAATGTATGTTACTTTGACGACTTACGTTGAAAGCGATGGTCTAAATGCATAAATTACAGCTTTATTTAAAAATCAAATTCTCAAAGCTAGACTATATTGCCTAACTTGACATGTGCCAAATGATAATCCGCAACTTGACTTATAAGTAAGTTTGTAGGTTTTAAAAAATTAATCTTGGGAATACTTGAAAGATTTCATGTTTAATTTTGTGTGTATTCGTTTAAGAAGACATTTAACTTTCTAATAACGTTAAAAGATTTTCCAACAGTGCTCGATTTTTTTCGTAGTCAATCTACCCACGAAAATTGATTGGTTGGATAAATGTTTGGTTTTTCATATTTCCTTCGATCATTTTTTCCCCTGTTGCTTAAGAGTGTCGATTATTTTTATGAGAATATGTTTCTCTATACTACACAATTTAGGATGGGTGGAGATTAATAAATATTCAAGTATTCATTGTAATTTAAAAAAATCAGAAATGTGAGTTATCAACTCGAATGTACGTTGTCCCTGTAATTGAAAATTCATGAGATATACGTAATATTAAACAATGTAATGATTTCATTTCAAAATTCATTAAGGTTTTTTATAAGTAACAAGTAATCTTTAACGAACATGTTCAAGTATCCTTTTTGCTTTTTCATCTTATGAAAGTATTGTTGTGGTGGTGGTTAATTTGTGCCCATTTGGTGTTAGTTCCAGCCCAAACTCCCATCCAGTGTCTCCGAATAGAATATGTTGAAGACTAGCACTGCCACGGAGTCTCCTTCCAGCCTGTTTGATTATTTGGCGTCTGTAGCTTACGTTTTGTTAGTTACATTGATAGATAGATCTACTGATCTATATAGACTTTTTAAAATCCCGTTTATGATATATCTGGAAAGTTTCAATAGTTCAATCAAATTGAAGTAATTCTGTAATTGTTCTGTTTCAATTTTGAATGCATCTGACCCCCCTGCATTAGGGTTAACTGTGAATTGAGTAAGTTTAATGGGACAACCTACATTCGAGTTGACATCATACACTTATAATTTTTTAAATTATAGCCAAAATGTTAATACTTATTAAATCTTCAACAGACCTTAATTGTGCTGTTTAAAGAAACATATTCTCATAAAAATCTTCGACACTCTTAGACGACAGGGGAGGAAATGATCAAAGGAAATGTGTAAAAACACAACATTTTCCAACCGACCAATTATATGGGTAGATTGACTACGAAAAAAATCAAGCACTGTTTGAAAATCTTTTAACGTTATTAGAAAGTTAAATGTCTTCCTAAACGAATACACAAAAAATCAAACATGAAATCCTTAATGCATTCCTCAGATTATTTTTTTAAAACCTACATCAAACCTACATCATTGTCTTTGCTCCAAATCAGTTAAATAGTGACATCGTACATCTAAAGTGTACTACGGTATATTTTGTCACTGTACCTTGTCGATGGTTAGATGTGTTGTAACAGGATCAAAATGTTTCAATGGAATGAACCAACTAATAGTAGTTCTGCACTAAATATATATAGATATTGAATGGATTTTGAAATGCCAATGCTATTCATTCTAATAAACAACAATATGTTTTCAAATATATGAAATGATTTTACAAAATATTTCCTTCGCACATTTTTCAAATAAAACTATTATATATAACCAGTGGTTGGATAAAATAAGTTTTTGCTTAATTTGGCTTATCTGCCAGATCCTGGCATTGGCAATGGATTCTATAGGTTTCTTTTTGCTTCATTTCAGCATCTCTTTCAATTTTAATGAGAAAAATGTTTGAAAATAATGCACAAAAACATAAAATCATGAGCAAAAGAAATGTCCATTTTGAGCAAGATTCTCCATAGCATTCATTTGATCCTAATGGGCTATTTAGTTTATAACTAAATCCAAACAATTGATGAAATCCAAACATTCCAATGCCATGGCCAAGAAAAATGATCCCAAGGTTCTGTCCAACATATTTTAAACCAAACAATTCAATGTTGACACATTGCACTTGTACATAAAAAGCCCCATATGCAAAACTCATCATAATTGTACTACTGAATAACCCAATGAAACTATGATAGAAGCAAATCATAACAATAAGGCTGATGCACATTATTATTGAACATGGCAATAAACCTGATGATTTAGGAATGTTATTACATCTTTGGAAGATATAACCAAAACCAAACCCAATACAAATTCTGCCTAATGAACTGAAAATGGGAAGGCAGATAGTAAAACTTGCCACATCATGTTCTCGATGAGCAGATTTCAAGACAATGGCGATATTGTTGACAAATGTACCACCAGTTCCACCCAAAATGATACATATTAGAAAGAGGTAATGAAATTGCAATGTTTGTATAATTTGCCAGCTATTCAAATCATGAAGACTTGTAGTGTTCTTCCGAACTGCAGCCTTTGGAATCAGTGTAGTTTTGTCATCTACATGTTTATCATCATCTCCAATGTTTTTTTCCAAAGTTTTGAAGAGTTCATTCAACTCACTTCCTTCTGTTTGAATTGTTTCATTCCCCGGTATTTCCTTAAGTAGTGCTATGGCTAACAAATTTATAACTAATGATATCCCAACTAAGAACAGCATAAAATCTCCGTACTTTTGATTCTCGGCATCTTTAACGTGGCCTTGTACAAAAAATCCTTGATAGATGGTGCTAAATATTGTTGGAGAAATCCCATATATACAACCAAGAATCACTAGCACCCTAGCTCTGTGTTTACCCTCAAAGTTCTTACTGTTTACTGCTAAACTTGCCAGATTGGGAAATGCGGTTCCAAACATTGCAACTGAATATATGACACAAACCAGCCAGGCATTATGAGCGAAATAGGTTTTGAATATTGTACTCATCCATAATAGTGTAAATCCAACTCCAGTGAGAATCAGACCAAATGTACAAGTAGGTCTTGGTCCAAATTTATCAAATATTAGTCCAACAGGAAACATAAAACTTTGTCCTAGGTCTCCACCTGCAGCTATGAACTCCACATTTGACTGTGTATAGTTGAAAGTGTTTTTCAAGGCAAGTGCATATGTGTTGAAACTGTATAAGACTCCTGTCAAGCACATCCCAAATATTCCTACCACCAGTGAAATATATTTCTGCATCTTTGATTTCTGTAAAAATATTCAGAGAAATTTGTTTGTAATGTAGTTTAGCATTTATTTTATCACTACAAGCAGTTTGAAACACCAAAAGACCCCAAAATAGTTTGGTTCAATCACCCTGTGAAAGTGTGAATGGCAGATGAATAGACTAATGTCACATGAAAATTGAGATTGTATTAACTATGTTTAATGGTCCTTTTGAGATTTTATTCATTTCATATTTTATTGACTGAATTGAAAATATTGAATAAAGTTCATTTTAACACGTTCAGATATTTGAAATTGTTAGACTTACCGCTACTCTGTATTTAACCCCCCTGTCACACCAAACTAGTTCTCAACCATTCTTTCCAGTCATAGGAAAAAGTCGTATAATTGGCTAAATCTGGCTGTGGTTGGGAAATATCTTTAAAATAATAAGCTACATGTACTTTGTTCATAATTAGTCTTCAATGCATCCATCTCATCCTCAGTTCATTCAGATCGCACCATGTCAGTGTGCACACATATTGCAATTGATATCCGATTGCACAACATTGTATAACGCGTCCTTAGTTGGGTTGAAGTACAGCAATTACGTTCCTGGTCTAGTACGTAGGTCATCTTGTTTGAAATACGTTGTCACATGATCTGATTACAGGATGGTATGTTCGCCATCAAATTTTGAATCATTTCCAAATTTTAAAATCACCTTCCCATCTAAGAAAGTTCATGAAGTTTGCAAATAGACTTTAGAAAGTTGCAGCTACGTTCATTCCGTTCGCACACAGTTTATGACCAGTTTTGAAAAACGCAGTGGCAACTTGTTTGGTGTGATATCTATATATTTGCTAACTCGTTCATAAGCAATCTTTAATACATTCTTAATCAGTTTAAACCTATTTGCAATTAGTTACCTCGTTCTCAATACGTCCTCAGACAGTTCAACTTGTTGTAAAAAACGTCCCTAGTAGGATTGAAGTATGATGGTTCCGTTTGTAGTATGTCCAGCTCATCGTTAGTACGTCAGGTCACTCATTCTAATTGTTCTAATTGTAGAATGTGATGACCCAAGAATATTTTGAGCATGTTCTAAGTTCTAGAGGACCTACGAGCCTGTTCGAGTACGTTCCAAATAGACCCCAAACGGTTCTAAGTACGTCCAGTCTGTTTGTACACAATTGAAGCCCGTTTTCAAGAACTTAGTGAGAATTAGTTAGGTTTGATTGTAGGATATATATTTGATTAATCGATATTGATCCTCTATTTTCAATATTATCGATAATCGTTTCTTCAAACAATTTACAGATAAACTCAGAGTAAAGATAAAGTCAGAGTAAACTTTTTTTGCGATAAGCAGTTAATTTTATAATTTCAATTATTTTGCATACATTTATTGAAATCGTTTATATCAAATCAAATCATCTCGAGATATTTATTGAATCAAAAAAAATGTATTTTGAGGTACCCACTGCACATGTTGGTAGCACACTGAAATTAGCACTTTTGCACCAAATAGAATATGTCTATAGAACTTAATTAGCCACCTATGATTTGTGCAAAGTTGGGTCAAATAATTTAGTGCAGATTGGTGATTGATAAACGGAACATAAAAATGTGAGAGAAATATAAAAATTTCAATAAATATATTAAATATACTATTTGTTTAATTTCAGCATTTCACTTGACCTGTCCAAATGATTGGCTCAGGCAATCATGTTACAGAAGGCCAAATCAATTAAACAGAAATTGAAGCGAAGTAACTCAAATACCACCTCTAATAAGATCAACTCTACCGATGCAAAAAAAGCTGAAAAGTTGGCAAAGAAATATGTGGGGAAGGGGATTGCAAGATCTAATAGCCTGAAAGAAGTGTCAAATAAGGAGAAAATAAAGCAGGTGGTGAGTACTGATTACTGTTATACAGTTAATTTCATAAACATTTGAGTGTAAATGGATGTTTATTTTGGCAAGAATGGTAGCACCAGTTGTTATTGTTATTATTAATTGTTGTTATTGCTTCATAAAGATGTTTGTTTATTTTTTATTAACAGTTCATAGTAATAGAGCATGCCAATGGAGTAAACTAGTGTCACTACGACCTCAACTGAAAAAACTACAGGAGATTATGTTAAAAATTAATGAAATATTTATACACATTTTCAGAATAAGTATTTGATTGTCAAATGTTTCTACAAAGATTAATCAAGCTAAATAAGTCATTGGGTAATATCTAATGGGTGTAAGGCCCTATCGTACCTTATTCTAAACTATTTTATTATTATAATTTGTTAAATATCCTTGGATGAGTTTTTCGTGGTATCATCCTTTAGATGAACTATCCTCTTTTAAAAAGTCATACAATATACAATTATTGACCTCTCCAGAGGTTTACTGTCAAAATTATACCCCAAGACTGTAAACCGAGACCGTAGGTCGAGGTTTCGGTCGAGGGATATAATTTTGACAGTAAACCGAATGGAGAGGTCTATAATTGTTTTGTTAGTCCGAAGAATATCTTAGATTTTTCTGACCCTTGAAGTTGACTTGAAGTTGGATCCAGACCCTCGAGACGTTCATGTTGTATTTCAGTATATCGGCAGTAAGTTCACTCAATGGAGTCAAATTACTCTCCTGGGCGAAGTCCACTAAAAGCTTCTATATATATTCTTTTATTGACTCTTATGTATGTCAGTCCGAAGAATATCTTAGATTTTTCTGACCCTTGAAGTTGACTTGAAGTTGGATCCAGACCCTCGAGACGTTCATGTTGTATTTCAGTATATCGGCAGTAAGTTCACTCAATGGAGTCAATTTACTCTCCTGGGCGAAGTCCACTAAAAGCTTCTGTACAAAGTTTTAGATTTTTCTTCGTATTTTGAGCTTTACTCTCTAAGAGACTAATAATATCCTCATCTTCAACATTTTTGAAACGGCTAGTGCTAGCGGCGGCCATTTTATCGTCTGATAATGACGTCATTTTAGTGGAATGCTGGGAATATTATTCACCGGCAATGCATTGCGCGGTGTACAGTTAAAATTATTCACCGCTCGTTGACCAATCAAAATCGAGTATTTCAACTGAGGTACTAACAATCTAAATTATGCTCAGAATTCTGACAAACAAGCCTCTATCCAGGGCGATTAGTTACATAGACATTTCTCTGAGTTGCCGAGCGAGTGCAGATGGGTAATAGCAGCAAAGGAGTTGATACATCTTTATCTGAACATATTTATCAATAGAGACATCTTTACTTGCCACCAGGTTTTATGAAGATCTATTGAAAGTAACACAGGAGCAGTTAATCCCATGATGCTGAACTGTTATACATGATGCATCTATGTGATGCTCAGAGATTACTAGATGCGATTTTGTCTCTAGAGTCTTAACCTTTTTATTCAATGAATAACACATATCAGTAACTAATTAAGAGTGGAAAAGAGCAACAACAGGGAATGAATATTTGATATGCTCTCAATGTTTCACAGCTCAATACCCTGAGAACTGGTGAATAGCAATAAAATTCTTACCCTCTGTAAGGATCTGATAATGAAATAACAGGTTTGGTAATTTTGAAATCTTTTATGATCTCAGTGAATGAGACATTTTATTGGAGGTTAACCATGAAATTAGTGTCAGCTATAAATTGGTAGATAGATATCAATGCAGTGAGTAACCATTTTTTGGCAATATATAATTCTCAGGTCTCTGATTGTCAAGGTAGAAGGATTATTCCTTGTTGAAAAAGTGAAGATGAAGTTCTCTTTTAGATAAAAAAAAGCAATTTACTGCAACCATTGTATAGTGAAAAACAAAATTAGCAAAATGCAGTCAATAAAGAAGATGCGAGTAGAAATAATCATGATTTACTTCATTAAATATTCAAAATTTAGTTAACCTCTTGAATCCCAGGCTCTAAAATCGGTTGAAACCAGAGAATTCATCATTTTGCCACCTTTTGACATTTTACTACATACCTATACCTATTTGGTGAAAATTGTTCAAATAAGAGCAATTTCAGTGAAAAATTTTGTGACAGATTTTCTCATCACTCTGGGTTTCAAGGTCATTTCTGAGGTGATGAAAAATCTCGTCATTCCAGGTAGTCAAAATGTTAAAGGGATATCAGGGCCTGTACTTATAAATGACACATAATAGTATTCAAATGGAACAATTTCATCGCATTAGATCAATTATTTACTCTCTTTGGCTTAAAATGTGCTCATTATACATAATTCATGATATTATATTATTTTTGTTATTTGCCCCTTTGACTCCATAGTGACCTATAGTTACATTTTAAGGACTTTGTTCAGATTGGTTGATTTTGTTGAGGCCATGTAATACCACAATTAATAAGCCACATTAGCTTTATCCATTGTCTCCTAAAGGAGAAGCCTTTTAGCATGATGCCACTACCCTGGCTCTGATGTAGTCTCCCTTATTTATATCTTTACTTTGATATGGCCCTCACTTCCCCAATGAGTCATTTTTCAGCAGAATATTGTCATTATTTTATTATTCAATAGGGGGTTTCTTTACATTTGAATTATCACTTGAACTGTACATATATATTATATTTGTATTTGAACTGTATTTGAGTTATTCAAATGGTACATATTTAATGATTTTATCAAATAAAATGAAACGGACCACACACAATGTTTAATACTATGATTTCACTTTTGCCAAGTCATATACAGCTATACACAAAACAGCATGATTAATACTTCATGTTAAATTATAACATCTCATTTCGTTCTCAGCCTCAAACAGAAAGATGTGAGGAGTATCTGAATGATGTGTATTGTGGTATTGCGTTTTTGACACCTTGTCACATTCTGATACTCACAGCATCACTCTCTGTTACATCATAGATATCCACAAGGACAGAGATGGGGAAGGTGTAGCTTACCACAATGCCATGCAAAGAGTGTGGATGCCTGTTTAAGATTTGTTCTGTATCTATCCTTTGGACCATGTTTTGGTTGTTTTTCACTTCTCTTTTGACTGTTATTATTATGTATCTATATCCATGCTACGCCAATCCATCCTTCAGCATTAGAAATTCAAAAAATAATTTGATCAACTATATGAGTGAAAATAATTTTTTGGACCTTAAAAGAGAAGACAAAATTTTCATGGCCTGTTGAGCAGGTCTAAAATTTGGAAACCTTGTGACCAGAACATGAACATTCCCGACTACAGATTTTTCATTATTTTTTAGCATGATATATCATTCTATAGTTAGAAACCCATGCCTCTCTATTGTTTCAAAAAATGTACCCAACGTGGCGGTCTCTGTTAATTTATGGCATCCATACTTTTTTGAAAGGTAACACTTTGAGGCTCAATTTTTTGCCGGATGCCCTTGCAAACTCTCATTGGTTGCTCTGTATTGTAGCATTCCGTTACTATGGTTACGCATCTATAGACATCTTACCTTGCAATCTTAAATCATTTGTAACTTTGTCATTATTTGGTCTATGAAGATGATATTGGTATCAAATTAAACCTAATTAAATTTCTCATAAAGTAATGATATTCAATTATGCAAATTAGATAATTTGCATAAATTGTGACGTCATCAATCAATTTTTGATTCAGAATTTTCGAGAATAGCAACATATCTATTAGAACTGAGGCTGTATGTCAGAATTTCTGAAAAGTTTGGTCCTTTAGACTATAAGAAAAATGTATAAGCATCATAAAAGTGAAAACAGATTCAAAATTGGATCAGTATTGCCAAAGTTATTAAACTTTCGAGGCAGCTACTGTGAATGTCATTATTTGACAATTATATTCAGACATCTTACCTTGGACGTTTAAAGTGTTTGTAACGTTGTCATTATTTGGTCTATAGAAATGATATTGGTATTAAATTAAACCTTATTAAATATCCTGTACGATAACAATATTCAATTATGCAAATTAGCTAATTTGCATAAATTGTGACGTCATCAATCTATTTTTGTTCAGAATATCCCAGTTTAGCAACATATATATTAGAACTTAGGCCGAATGACAGAATGTGTGCATAGTTTTGACCTTTATTTGATGAGTGGAAGATATAGGCAACGTTCAAGAGACAACAGATTCAAAATTGGGTCAGAATTATCAAAGTTATTCAGCTTTTGGGGCAGCTACTGTGAACGTCATTGTTTGACAATTATAAAAAAAAATATTACAATAACAAAAAAAGAAACAAACATAGTTGTTTCAATCTTATTGAGTAAAAATGTACATGACTTGTCCATATTTTTCCATTGAACTGAACATGAAAGTATGTGGAAATGTTACATGTATTTTGACTATCATTCACAGGGGTCAAAATCATGTGATCTTGATCATGTGATCTTGATCCTGTATTTTAAAATCCAATTTTATAATTTACCATACACTTTCAATGATCCATATGAATACATAGTAATGCTTTAATTATGCTGTTTTGACATATGTTGACTAATATACATATCAATATTTACAAAATTTATATGGAAGAGTATTCCTGGTTTCATTTGATGTGAAAAAGCTGAAAACAAAATTTTGTTGATATTTGGACATAAACTAAATAAATCTCAATTACCATTTTATATTTAAAATACAGATAGAGTGTCAACTTTAGAACTTAGACGTAAACATTTCCAAAAATCAATGCCCAAAATAAGTCAATCAATGACAAATGGCCAGCCTACACAGCTAATGTGACAACTACTTTAGGGGAATTTTTTAACCTTCAAAATCCTTGGTGATTCATCCTTAGAATGATTTATGTTATAGCTTTTCTGAAAATGGACTATAAGCAGAAGGTAGGTACTTAGAGAAGCAAAATGAAAAGTAGTTTTTATATAATTTTACACAATATAACCTCTTCGATATGCAATGAAAAATGATGACAAAA